TGCTTATGACTTTGCCTTGGCATATGGTCTGACACAACTGCTTACTTCGGCTAAGCGGATACCAGATGTGGACGATCATAGAACTTCCCTGTTGGACCTTCTGCTGACCTCTCATCCGGAAGGATATCAGGTTTCCGTCGATGCCCCTCTCGGCTCTTCGAACCATTTTCTGATCCGGAGTATAGTGCCACTCACGCTCCCCTCGCGGTTGCGTTCTGCAGGTTGCCGCCGTGTTTAGCATTACAGGTCAGCGGATTGGGACGGAATGCGGACTTTCTTTGCATCTTACCCATGGGGTTTGCTACTCGCCGGATGATCCCAGCGCTATTGCTGACTCTTTCGCTGATGTGGTGCTACAGGGAATGGAACTATTTATTCCATCATCTGTGGTACCCATCGGAGGCAGATTTCAGTCTTGGTTTGGTCACTCCTGGAAGACTGCATTACGCAGTAAGCAGGAGTGTTATCAGGCCTGGGCTGTGGCTTCGACGGCTCGGGATGTAAACACCAGCGTCCTTAAGAGTTATTGCCAAGGCAAAATTAGAGCACATAGGCAGAATTGGCGAGAAACTAGTTTACTGCCTTCTTTCGGGAACCTGTGCATTATGATCTCTCGCCAAGGCTGTACAAGGGAATTTCTGTAAGCCATCACTAATATCTCTGCACAGGGAGGCGACTCACTGACCCATGACGCAAAAGAGAAAGCCGACATTTTAGGCTCCTTTTTTGCCTCCATCTCAACTCTTGATGACGGGGGAAAACAAACCGCCGACCATCCTGCGGTGTGAGTGCTCCATGCCGGATGTGCGGTTCTCACAGTGCGCGGTTCGCAAAACACTCCTCTCCCTGGACATCCACAAGTCGATTGGGCCTGACGGAATGCCCCCAACTATGCTAAGGACGTGTGCCCCAGAGTTGGCACCGGTTTTAACGCGTCTTTTCCGGTACTATTACTCCATGAAGCAAATACAAAGAGGAGACAACATAAGCAACTGTGCACTGTGATTCTTCTGATACTTGCTTTAGTTAGTATACTGTCAGCATTCATCCTGTGCGCTTATGTGCTGAAAATCGCAAATCGGTGTATTTTCGTAGTATTAAGAAGAAAAGGATGAATTGTTGTGTTTTATCGTGTAAAACCTACTCAGATAGACGCTCTTATGCTATGGATGGCGTCACATTTCATTCGCAAGTAATTTTACACCTAATTTATTAAAATAGTTCTAGAAAAATCTCTTTGCGTCGGCTTTCAAATATAATTAAATATATTCGACACTAGATGGCGACATTCTGTGTCATTTGAACTAAAACTATAAAGGTCGTACCGACCCTGCCAACTATCGGCCAATTTCATTTACCTCCATACTCTGCAAATTTATGGAGCGTATATTGAACGCCCACCTCATGGCATACCTAGAGCAAAATGATCTCCTCAGTGATCGCCAGCACAGGTTTCACCGAAATCGATCAACTGGGAACCTTCTAGCGTATGCCACTCACATATAGGGCGAAGCCCTCGAGAACAGTGGTGAAGCACTTGCTGTTTCCCTCGATGTTTCGAAGGCCTTTGACAGGGTTTGGCACGCTAGTCTATTGGGCAAGCTTTTAGCGTACGGCTTATCCCCTGGCCTGATTGCCTGGGTGAAGGACTTTTTGAGTGAACGATCTCTCCGGGTCGTCGTCGATGGCTGCTCATCTAGTACTGTGGCGACTAACGCTGATGTACCTCAGGGGTCAGTTCTCTCCGCAACTCTCTTCCTGCTGCATATAAATGATCTGCTCATTCCCGGTATCTATGGGTATGCAAACAACAGCACAGTTGTGGAGAGATACCAACCAGGTGCCCGGGCCAGTCAGGATCAAATCCAGTCAGAAAGAGAAGCTATGGTTGAGCGTGTGAGTCTCACACTACAGGCAGTCTCCGAATGGGGCGATGCCAATCTCGTGAGATTTAATGCCTCCAAAAGACAAACGTGTCTTTTTACCGCTAAAAGGAGCCCGCTCACCTTGGCTTCTACTTTCCGGAATGTATACTTGGAGTACACTGACTGCCTTCAGTTGTTAGGGATTGAATTTTCTCCGAACCTAAACTATGGGCGGTTCATTGAGTCCAGAGCCAAAGCAGCCGCAATGAAACTTGGTGTCCTTGCAAGGGTGCGGCGCTACTTCACACCGGGGCAGCTTCTTATAAGGCGCAAGTCCGGTCGTGCATGGAGTACTGCTATCACATATGGGCTGGTGCTGCAAAATGCAACCTGGCAGCATTGGACTCAGTGGAGAGACGTGCTAAGAGGCTCATTGGTGACCTTAATTTGGTTGAAACCAATCTTGTCAGCCTCGAGCACAGGCGCAAAGTAGCCAGTCTCTCGGTATTCTACAGGATGCATTTCGGTGAGTGTGCGCAGGAATTACACGCCTTAATTCCTCCCTCTCCTTTCCACCATCGGACAACCAGGCGGTCGGCGGGTCTTCATCCCTTTGTTGTCGATATTCCATGCATTAGAACCAAACGGTTTGCTTCGTCTTTTGTAATGCGTACAGCAAAGGAGTGGAATAATTTGCCGGCGTCCATCTTTCCGTCCGAATACTATCTGAGCGTCTTCAAGCCAAGAGTGAATAGGCTTTTGTTACAATAAGACAGTGCGATTTACCATCTAAGGCCCGCATCACCACTTACCACCAGGTGGGATTGTGGTCAAGTCACTGGCTTATAATAAGTAAAAAAAGGTACGTAGAGCTCAGTATTGGTAAAATAATCATACGAATGTGCTGAAATTTGTTTTGCATTCAGACATAAAGAAATTTAATCGCCAAAATATTATTTTTATAGTTTATAATCATTTTGTGAAGAGGCCGCCATCTATCGGCAAAGTAGCTTAACTACATTGCAACATCGATATGGAATGATTCGAGTAATTTTACTATTTATCGGTAGATGTAGAAAGTGTAAAGTGGACGGGGCTTAACATCCCCTCACCCCGCAAATTGTCATGCATTTTTACATAGTGATATCTAATTACAACACCTCCTCTTTGTATTTGCTTCATGTACTACTCCCTAGGCGTAGTTCCGAAATCATGGAAGACAGCTTTTGTCCACCCGATCCCTAAAAACGGCGACCATTCAGACCCGTCCAACTATAGGCCTATCGCCATCATCTCCTTGTTCTCCAAAATAATGGAATCTATTATAAACTGCTAGCTCATGCGGTACTTTGAGGATCACCAGCTGATTAGTGACCGCCAATACGGTTTTCGTCGGGGTCGATCAGCTGGTGATCCAAGTCCAAGGGGGAGGCATTGGCTATTAGTTTGTACATTGCGAAGGCCTTCCATCGGGTTTGGCACAAAGCGGTTCTTTCAAAGCTCCCTTCCTATGGGCTTACCGAGAAATTGTGCAATTAGATCACCAGATTTCTTGCAGATTGGAGCATTAAGGTCGTTGTAGACAGTGCATGCTCCGACTACAAGCCTATTAACGCTGGTGTTCCACAAGGCTGCGTGCTATCACCAACGCTGTTTCTTCGGCATAGCATTGATATGTTACAAATCGGTAATATTCATTGCTATGCGGATGACAGCACTGGTGATGCTCTAAACATCAAATAAATTTGTGTCTCAGATTGGGGGCGACTAAATCTCATCATCATTATGATTACAGCCCTTCACAAGTCCACTGCTGAACATAGGCCTCCCCCAAGGATTGCCACAAAGCACGGTTTTGATCCACCTGCATCCATCCACTTTCTGCATATCTTACCAGGACGTCACTCCATCTAGTGGGGGGACGCCCTACACTTTGTCCGCCGGTACGAGGCCGCCACTCGAGAACCTTTTTTCCCCATCGGTTGTCGGTTCTTCGAGCAATATGGCTGGGCCATTGCCACTTCAGCTTACTAATCCGTTGGGCTATGTCGGTCACTCTGGTTCTACTGCGGATCTCCTCATTTCTAAGTTTATCTCGCAGAGAAACTCCGAACATAGCCCTCTCCATAGCTCATTGAGCTTCCTCATCCGGCTAACAGTGAACTAAACAGCAGTAAACTAAATCTAGTCCAGTTTAATCCTCAGAAGACACAACTTTGCGCGTTTACCGCTAAAAAAACCCCTTTGTTGATTTTATTTAGTGAGGTCTGTACTGTTCGGTGGCTCAAACCAGACTGACTTAGCACGCTCTGTGCGGCCGTATTTATAACGTGGCATGCACGTGCACATAAATTTTAGGTCAAGTATTGAATTATGTGAAAGATTTTTTACATTGTAATTATCAAAGAGTTATTAATTAATGGCTTATGAACTATTTTTAACCCAACCAAATTATTAAAGAGAGTAATTAACGTTTAATCATTATAATCGAACGTCCTAATAAAACAACAAATAAAATAAAAGAAAATATTGAAATTTTAGTGGATAACCAATATGTATCAGAACCAAAAAGGGTAGCTAATTAATTTAATAATTTCTTTACATCAGTTGGCCACGTCTCAAAAGCAAACATACCATCTCAAAAAATACAATCCTTTAAAAATACAAGTACATTAAATACTATGTTTTATGTCCTGTTAAACCCGAAGAAACTAGTAACATTATCAAAAAATTAAAAAATTAAAATAGTTATGGAATAGATGAATTACCACCGAAATGAATAAAAAATGTGTTGATTCATTAACTTCTCCATTTAGTTTTTTAGTCAACCAATCTTTAACGGAAGGAACGTTACCAGATATATTAAAAACTGCCATAGTAAAATCAAACAAAAACAAACACTACAAATTATAGACCAATTGCAATGTTACCTACATCTTCGAAAATCTTTGAAAAGGCAATGTCAAATAGAGTTTACGCATTCTGTGAAAAATTTAAACTATTTGATAGTTCACAAAATGGTTTTAGGAAGAAACGGTCAATGACACTTACAGTATACAAATATATACAAAAAGTACTTGATATTATAAATTAAAAGAAATACGCCGTAGGTATATTATTAGATATGTCCAAAACCTATGATGAGTACAATACCCAATACTGTTACGGAAGTTATATGACATCGGTATACGTGATACGGCATACAAATGGTTTAAATCTTACCTAGAAAACCGAAAACAATATGTAGAGATAGTGCGTTATAACCATGACACTGGTGAAATCTGTAACGTTAGATCTGACGCAATCCACACTACTTGCTCCATCCCTCAATGCATCGTTTTGGGATGTTTGCTATTTATAATTTATATAAAAGAACTGCCTAGGGTATTGAGTGAAACCTCTGTTATATTTGCAGATGACATCTCTATCCTTATTTCACACACAAAAGACCAGAATTTAAATAATAAACTGAATCATGTATTAAACCAGGTCACAAATTGGCTGACACATCACAACCTAGATATCAATTTTAATAAAACCAAAATTATGCAATTCTGACCAGTTCAAAAATCACCTCAAAGTGTCGCTTTTAATTATAATAATACACCTATAGGAACTGTTGAAAACTTCAACTTGCTAGGCCTGGAAATTGACTGCCATATATACTGGAAAGCACATATAAATAAAGTTAAAAGCAGGCTATCCAGTTTCACATACGCATTACGTGAAATAAAGAAAACCACGGAAGTCCCCAGCGCTCTGTCGGCATATTACGCATACACATCTTCGTGGCTATCATACGGTGTCATATTGTAGGGAAATAGTACTGATGCGCAGCAATTATTTATAAACCAAAAAAATTTATAAGAATTTTGGCAAATATAAAAATTCAAGAAAGTTTCAAGAAAGGCCCCACTTTAAAAAACTTAAAATATTGACTTTCACATCTATTTATATTTGGGAAGCATGCAAATTTGTAAAAAACCATCCAGAACTATTCACCAAATTAAGCGACACTAATTACAAATACTTAATTAGACCTAACGAAAATAGGCTAATATTGCCGAAATCCACACTCGCATTACATAGCTCTAGTCCCTACTGTATGACAGTAAAAATGTTTAATAACCTACCAAATTACATAAAAATTCTAACGGATATATATTATTTTTATCAAAATTAAAGTTATATTTAATTGAAAAATGTTTCTATAATTTAAATGAATACTTTGTTACAAATGTTATTTAATTTGTGTAGACAACTTCGACCTGCCTATTTTATTTAATTATTCAATAATTATTGTTTTTATTTAATTTACTATATAATTTTATTCTGTATATTTTTTTAATTTATTATTATGTGGTATCTATAAAGTTTTCTCATCCGGTTGGGAAATATAAATATATAATTGTAAATAATCATGGTAAGCGTACATAAATATCAATAAAATATAATAAATACATAAAAACTACATAAATATATAAAAACTCAACCAGATGGAAGCCCTCGGCAGGGGAGACCAAACGGCCGAGGGTTAGGGGGAAAGGGAAAGAAACCGGCGGACAATGCGGGCGATATCGAGGAGCACCGCCTTCTGCATTTGAGCTTGGAGCGGTCCGTCACGGAGTCCCAGTCGCCTCAGATGACCCGAGAGACTGACTGGAATTAACCCATTCGCAGAGACGACTACAGGTATAATTTCGGCCGGCAGTCCACCCCACATGTCGGTCACCTCGCGAGCCAGGTCCAGATATTTTGTCAGCTTATCTGTTTCGGCTTTCACGAGGTTCTCGTCATAAGGAATGTAATGTCGACCAAAAATATCCTTGACTGTGCCCGGTCCATCAGCACAATATCAGGCTTATTCGCAAAAATAGTCCTGTCTGTGATGATGGCCCGGTCCCAGTAGTGCCTGGCGCGGTCATTTTCCAGTACGGCATCCGGCAAGTACTTATAATACGGCAGTTTCCGATCCACGAGACCGTATTTCAGAGCGAGCTCCTGGTGTAGAATCATGGCTACTAAGTTATGCCTGTGCAAATACTCAGAGTTAGAAAGCGCCGAACAACCGGAGATGACATGCCTAAGTGACTCACCGGGATGGCGATAAGCTCGACAGACGTCGACGTATCTCCTTCGCCTTAGGATGTATCTCCGATAATTGTTGGTCTTAATATCCAGATCCTGTATCACACAGACAAAACCCTCGGTTTCCCCAAAGAGGTCACCGAATACGTAGCCAGTGGAGGGAGGCGACTGTGTCTACGAAAGGCTCGTGTAGAGCCTTGTAGAACCTCCCGTGGAGCTCCTTCTCCTTCCATCCGGTCTCCCGGTCGGAAATGGTCTGTACTGCCGGGTCCTGCCATTGCTCGTTGGCTGAGGATAGAGGGGTAAGTCCTTTATCATAAGAAATAACGTCCCTATAGTATAGATCATCCGCTCTCATCAGAAAGTAATTACGGAGGCTGCACACTTCGCGATTATGCATGGTAAGCGCGCTTAAAAAGCCGCGCCCACCATGCTTCCGCGGCAAGTACAGCCTCATTACTGACGATCTCGGATGATGCATCCTGTGGGACGTCATTATAGTGCGGACTTTGCTGTCCAGAGCGTTTAGTTCGGTCTAAGTCCACCTGAGTATGCCAAAGGTACATGAGAATAGGTATGATCCAACCGTTTATATGCGTGCGTCTTATTCATACCGGACAAAAGGCTGTTAAGCACTTTGGTCAAGAGTGCATAAAACACATCGCAAACTGTGTGACTGTTTCATACCCGCCTCATTTACACCGATGTTCTGTGATATACCCAGGTATCGGTATGTTTCAGCCTCGGAAAGGGTCCTTATGTTGATGGCCATAGATAAGTCTATGCCCTCAGAGTTAGCAACCCTTCCCCTTTCAACATGGAGGACCACACACTTATCCGTACCCAGCTCCATTCTAATAGAATTGCTAAAATCACAAGTGATGTTTAGCAATTCCATAAGATGAGAGCGACTGGAGGCCAATAACTTGAGATCATCCATATAGAAAAGGTGAGTCACTTTTGTACTTCCCTTCCGAAGCTGAAATCCCCTCCCGGAGCCCTCCAGTAAGGTACAGAGAGGGTTCAGAGAGAGGCAGAACCAGATTGGACTCAAACAATCGCCCTGGAAGATACCCCTTCTTATCTTTATGTGGTTCTCCGCAGCCGTCATCCGCTCGCCTAGATGACAAAGGATCGTTCTCCACTGCCCCATACACTGCCCGAGGAAGTCTCTAACTGTACAGTCAATCTTGTACAGCTCGAGGACCCTCTTAAGCTATACATGGGGCACCGAGTCGAATGCCTTTTTGTAGTCTATCCAGGCAGCGGAGAGGTTCCGACGGTTGCGTTTAACCACCTTGCCAATGACCGCGTCAATGAGGAGTTGTTCTTTGGTTCCACGACCATCGCCCATACATCCATTCTGAGCGCGCGACATCACCTGATTTGAGTTCAGGTGACGACTGATTCTCGCGCTCAAAATGGATGTTAGTGTGTTGTATATCGTGGGTAGACACGTGATGGGACGGTATTTGCTCGGGTCTGTGGTATCCTGATCTTTAGGAACCAAATGAGTGATCCCAGTAGTGAAGAGGCTCGGGAGCGACTTCACGCGACATCACCTGATTTGAGTTCAGGTGACGACTGATTCTCGCGCTCAAAATGGATGTTAGTGTCTTGTATATCGTGGGTAGACACGTGATGGGGCGGTATTTGCTCGGGTCTGTGGTATCCTGATCTTTAGGAACCAAATGAGTGATCCCAGTAGTGAAGAGGCTCGGGAGCGACTTCTGGTCGAGAGCCTCTTGAAATTGTCGGGCGAGCACAGCGTGACACACCACGAACCCCTTCAGCCAGTAGTGATGCAGCTCGTCGAGCCCCGAACTTTTCCAGTTCGGGGCTCTATGGACCACCTCAACTACGTCATCCGGCGTTATGATGACGGGGTCCATGGGCGTAATATTCGCACACTGACTCGCCACAACTTCCGTCCAAGGGCCCTCGCTGTGGTTTACGGGCTCTGACCACAGGCCGCGCCAGAATGCGATAGTGTCGGCCTGATTCGGTGCTGGGCCCGTTCCACGTACCATTGGCCGCTCCAATGATTCCATAGAGCCTCTTCTGATCACTCTGAAAGAGACGATTCTGGTTGAACCGTGTCGACCTCTCGGTATATCGCGGAATCCGCTTCCCCCAAGCAGCAATTCTCTGCTTCAGGTCGTCTATGCGCTCCGTCAGTTTTTGCGTTATATCCGACTGGGACAAACTGATATTTGTCCCAGCAAACGCCATCCTAAAGGTGCGCACAATTGTCGGTCTATTATTGCCCGACCTGAAGCTTATCAGCCTGCCGATGAGGGCCCTTGCCTGTACGATACGGTCCTCAATCCTTGTTCTCCAGGCTGGGATGGCGCTACTTTGTCTAGTAGCGCGTCCAGCCGTGGGAAAATTGGCGCCAACAATACGGCAAACTGCCAGTGCGGCGGCAAAAAGAATTGAGTCCGTCTCGCATAGGTCTCGGCTGGCTTCCAAATAGGTCACCAGCATTGGGTTGAGAGCCCTCACGACAGCCCGATTCCGCTTGCTTAGGGGTATGCGCGGGAGTCGCGGTCGATTTTCGAGAGGCGTACTGCGCGTTTCCACTATCGCCTCCTCCAATTTACTGACCATTCCATCATCGCCTGAATAAACCAGAGTGGGAAGATCCATGGCGCCCTCTATATGTGGCTGCTGGTCTGTGGTCTGAGGAGCCGCATCCCCAGCTATAGCCGGTTCATTCGATGAGGGAATAGCCACACGCCGTAGTCGTTCGAGTTCGGCATCATCAAATATTTTCGAGCGTATGATGTACCGAACTCAGTCTGCCAGGTTTTGCTTTGTGACGGGAACTGACGGCTCAAGCTCAGCAAAAAGGCGATGCATCCGAGCCCGATACGCTATCCCTCCAGTTTCTTCCCCTTTCGCCCTATAGTACGCCCGCAATGCGTTTATGTTCATATTTTTTGTCCAACGCATGCGGCGTACTTCACCAGCGGCGGGTGCCGCTTGCCGAGTCCGAGAGGACCCCGCCGACACCAAGCCGTCTGATGGAGATGATGGACGCGAGGGGCTGCTAGGTGGCCGTACAGCACCTCGCGTTCGGCTGACGGCTCGCATGCTGTCGCGTCCAGCGCC